TTTGCTTTGCGATGGGGCCTCATCTAGCCAGCCCGGTAATCAGGCCTCCACCTGCATAGCTTTAGCAAGGTTGCTGCAATATGGTAGTTCCTATGAAGTCTCTAAGAAAAATAAAACATTTCACCCTTAGGTCACAAACATATCCTTAAAAAATCCAGAATCCCCCAGAGAATTCAAACCAACTATTTAAAGACAACCTTACTTCCTAGCTCCTCAAATAGGCTTTTATTTTAAGTATTGGGGTATATGGACCTAACCCAGTGCCCAGCAAGAAAGGCATTCACATCCCTCGTCTTTTTGTGAGGCCCTGTGTGAATGCCAGTCTCTATTTAATTCCACTTTGATTAATTCCCTTTTACTCTTTCACTCTCTCTGCACCTCCACCACCGTGCCAGGTTTTCGTCTTTTGGATGCCAAATCAAGTGAAATAGGAATGTGTTGCCAAGAGTTTAATTATATTTCCCTGGCAAAGAGTCATGGCTTGCTCTTTAAAAAGTCAAGCGTTACTGGCTGCCAACTCTACTGTTTCGCACAGCTGAGGAGGGAGACTTTGGAGTCTTGCAAAAGGCTTTTATTTGTGCTGAACCAGGGAGCAATAACGCCACAGAGGCAGTTGTGGGCTGAGGACATGGATAAATCCCAGATGAAGGGACAGTTACCTTGTGATCTGAGCAGCTGGAACATTTCAGATGATAGAAATTTGGTCGCAGTCCAGCAGGGTGAATGAACTCTGAGGCACTGCTGATACAGGGAAACACTTCCCTTATTTTTTCAGATCTTTCACATGTTTTACTGTGCCTGTCGTTCTTACTGACAGCAGACTAAAAGTATAGAGAGCGGATGTATAGTAGCAACTGATTTTTCAAAAATAGGTGATACAGGTAAAGATTCCCCTTGACATTAAGTCTAGTTGTGTCCAACTCTGTGGGGTGGTGTCACCTCCATTTTAAGCCGAAAAGCCAATGTTGTCCATAGATGGCTTCAAGGTCATGTGGCCAGCATGACTGCATGGAGCGCCATTACCTTCCCACTGAAGCAGTATCTATTGATCCACTCACATTTGCATGTTTTCAAATTGCTAGGTTGGCAGAAGCTGGGGCTAACAGTGGGAGCTCAATTCGCTCCTCTCAGTCAGCAGGTTCAGCAGCTCAGTAGTTTAACCCACTGTGCCACTGGGGCCTCCATTCAGGTAATGAATGCCACCAAAACTGGATTGACAAGTGGACTGTTGACAAACAAGACACATGAATCTACATACTTGGGGGCGGAAGGGGAGCAAAGTTTGCAGAAGTTCAAATTTTTAGTATATGTGTTGCCGAAGCAAGCAGTTTCAGAAGTAGTAAATCAGCTTCCTCCAAATCTTAGTCCAATGAGAAATGAGTATGTTCAGTAAGAGATGAAATGTAGTGGGACCACTGGAAAAGGGAAAAATGAAAATGGGTGGGAACTGAACAGAGTCCCTACTTAGAAAGAATGGCTGGCTAGAAACTAGAAGTTCTCCTTTGAAGAAGAAGGATACACTGCTGCATTTTGTAGACGGCCCTACTTGTGTCTCTCTTTCTCTGACAGCTTCACTTCTTGTCTGCCATAGAGCCACTCCATCATCTCTAGAAAAAACATGAGTAAATTCTGCAGTCTCTTTATTTATTTATTGGCTTTATTTTAATCTCATCTTTCTCCCAATATAGGGAATTTCAATGATTTAACCAGTCAAGAAGGGAGAAGAAGCCTCTATTTCACTTAGTTACATTGGGCAATTGCATGAAAAATACTGGGAAATCCCTAAGTTTCTGTTTCTTTGCTCACAGCCTGTCCATTTTCATCTCTTTCCTTGATGTGATTACATTTATGACAGCTTTTCCACAAAGGCAAATCATTTTCAAATCATCATTGCCGTAGCACATCGTGTTCCCCTCAGAACATTTAATTGGTTGTGCAGACGATGTGAAATCGTTCTGTAGGTTAAGACGACTGTGTAAACATATTAAACATCTTCCTGTGAATGCTTTGTTAAAAATGAACCCTATTCAATATGCACAGAATTGTAACTTTAATGAGTTTTTTAAATTGTGTAATGAGAGGAGTAGCTAATAAATAAAAGGTGTTCAATATTAGTTTAGAACAGGGTTGGGCAACCTCAATAGATAGACTCCAGGGCTAGTTTTGCAATCCAGAGCCTAGTTTGGGATGCTGCCACATTTACCAAATTTCAGTAGTCAAGTGCACTGTATTTTGGTGATAAACCAAAATTGTACTTTGGTGAGTTTTCCTGACTTTTCCTTAGCATAAGGAACCATTAAAGGCTAGCTTTTTTTTTCTTGTTTAATGAGTTTCTGCGGTCTGTTGGAAACATCCAACAGTATTTTCTATAACATAATGTTGATGGTGCCTAGAGGAGCTGCAAAAATATTTTTGGACATTTGCCTGTTATCCCTGGGCTGCACATTACCCTTTCCTTCTTTAAAAGCTTTGGGCACAGTTTGCCAAGCATTTGACCTGTGTAACCACCATGTGGCATCTACCCAGATACAGCCCAGGACAGGACTAGCATGCTGTGGCCATATGAATGCCACCTCTAAAGCTGAAGATTACTGGTATTGTTGATTAGTGATATATATCTTTGCTTCACTTTGGTTTTTCAATTCATCATCATCATCATCATCATCATCCTTTAATTACTTATTAATCGCCCTCCATCCGAGAATGCTCTAGGTGATTTACAGCTAAATTGTAAAAGATAAAATACATACTTGCAAAAAATAAAATTAACAGGGATCGAATGCTCTAGTAAAGAGCCAGGTCTTAAGTGCTTCAGTAAAAGGCCCTAAGTCACGCATTATTTTTCTCATTTCACTATTTTAATAATAATAATATCTTTATTTCTATCTCACTTTTCTCCCTGAATAGGACCCAAAGCAGCTCACAACATTTTAAAAACAGTACAAACAGCAAACACATACAATAATAAAACTATTTATAGAAATGAGATAAGTAAACATTCTAAATATCTTATAGACAAAATATTCATGGGGGGGGGGGGTGAGGGTGGATTACACAGCTTATTTTAAAAAATGCAAAACTTTTTGCAATAGTGTCCAGAAACCCTTTCTCCTTCAAATGGGAGGATTTGCAAATATTCTTTCTTTGCCTCTTCTTGATTAAGACTGAAATCTGCAGGGATTTAGGAAAACAAAGGTAGATGAAAAATAACCAGGAGGCTTCCTTATGGGAACATGAAATAAGCTATGAATGTCTTTTTAACATCTAGAGGATTAACTCTAGAACCCCCCCCCCCCCACATACAAATAGTTCATTTTGAAACTAGTGTGGATACCTCTCCCCCCCCCCCGCACCCTCCCTGAGTCTTGACCAGTAGAGGTCACAGTGGATGTTTGTACACATTTGGTTCCATGGGTCTACACAAATGGCATAGATGATTCAAGGACCAATGTGAGATTTCAAAACATTTATTTCATCACACAATGAGCCTGTAAATATTAGAAAAAATGGTAACATTACCAGACACATCCAGGGTTACTTTTTATATTTACTGTATATTGTTATTGACACTCACACATTGTGTTGCACCTGCAGAGTTGTTTCGACAATGTGCAACACTCCCATCCAGCTGACACAGCATTAAAGTACACAGTGTAGCATGTGCATTGGTTCTGTGCCTTGCAGGGCCACACTGATTTGTCAACCACATGCATTGACAGGTAGCCCAAATACATTGCGCTATGATAGCATTTGGCAGAGAGTTCTTTGTAGATATTTTTGCTATGCTGAAGGGGATAGGATTCTGGTTGCTATTAAAATGATTTAATTTAAACCCATATAAAAGTATTAAAATTGAAAAGTATTATTAAAAGCATGATTAAAACCAGTAAATTTAATCCTGAATTTTAAACTCATGTCTTATGTTTTTTTTTGTTCTGTGTATTTTAATATGTATTTTATAGAAATACATTTTAATATATGTATTTTATAGTACACTTACAATGATAATGTGTTTTTAGCTATGTTTTAATCTGCCTCAAGCCATAAGGAGAGGCAGGTAAGAAATAATAATAATAATAATAATTATTACAGTAAAAAAGTACTTCCCTTTCAAAAAACATTCTATAGAAGCCAGGTAATAGTCAGAAGCCCGTATAAATAATAAAAAACCCTTTACTTGCTGGTGAAACAGGAGCAGGGAAGGGGAACAACTTAGTCTCCCTAGGTAAATAGTTGAAGAGACTTGGAGGAACCATTGAGAAGGCCCTGTCACCTTTCCTGTTGAGTATGCCTTTGATAAGGGGGGGCAGAATGTATTTATTTCCTCACCCCAAACGTACTCCTAATATAGAGACTCTAGGATCAAAAAATAAAGCTCTTAGCATTTTCATCATCCTGGAAACCTTATCTTTGGACAAAAGGGTGTTTTTGCCCAAGCTCTGTTTGTGTGCGTGTATGTTGATCTTTTTTTTTTTAACAAAAAATGCATGTGGGCAAGCTGCAATTGCTCAGCTCTGTCCACAATAGAATAGGCATGGCTGCATGCAGTCTTCAGAGCTTAAATGCTGTGCAGATGTGCAGCTGGGTCTTTTTTTCCTAGGTTTCTATTCAGGAGGGGGACTCACTCCATGTATGAAGCAGCCACTAAGCAGTGTAACTCCTCAAAGTCCGCATAATGAATCAGATTGATTTCCAAGGCTTTTGTACTTTAGAGAAATAAACCCAAATCTCTTAAGCCCCTTATTTTTGGCATGGAAAAGTCCAGCAAGGTTTGTACAGCTGGTGACGCAGGAGGAAGGGAAATATGGGAAAGTTTGAGAAGCTGTTGTCCTTGCTTTTGATCAGAGAGATCCTGACACAAAGGGGAAAATGGGTTTTTGGAACCAAGGGGTTTGTGGACCTATTTTGTTTTACCACCTCTGCAATGCCTACACTCATTAGTTGTGATGTATGTGCGAAGGGGGAGAGAAACTTATGAGCCAATTTCTTGTTTCTTCTAGGTGAAAAGTGAAGGCCCTAAACTGGTGCCCTTTTTCAAAGCCACCTGCGTCTACTTTGTCCTCTGGTTGCCAACTTCCAGCCCTTCCTGGTTCAGTGCCCTTATCAAATGCCTGCCTATCTTCTGCTTATGGGTTTTCCTGCTGGCTCATGGGATCAATTTCCTGGTGGCCCACCGCAGCGCCTGCAGAATCTTTGCTGGCTTGATATTCTCGGCAATAGGAGACGCATTCCTCATCTGGCAAGAACAAGGCTACTTTGTTCACGGTCAGTATGGTCTTCAACTTTTGAAGGACACATGCCTTGGCAACTAAGCATTTGAAGCACATACTGGGAATTATAAATGACTATCCATCACTGTCACGTGTTGCTTTGGCCCAGTCTGTATATATGTGTTTTGTGTGTGTATATGTGTGTGTATATATTTGTGTATATGTGTATATATGTTTGTTTACATTTATATATGTTGTTTTGCACAGGCATTGTAATTTTTTTAATTTTTTGCCTTCAAGACTCTTCTGCTGTGTTTTTCTGAGTGATGATCTGCTGTGTTTTTCTGAGTTGCCTGATACATGTATTGTGTTCAAATTTGGTGTCAATTCGTCCAGTGCTTTTTGAGTTATGTTTATCCCATAAACAAACATTACATTTTTATTTATATAGATTAAGCACACAGCACTGATGTTTGCACAAGAGCAAACCTGGGGAAAGTTGCATTCTACAGTTCTTAGAGTCCCCTGCCAGGATGGCCATGGGTCAAGTTAGCTGGGGGATTCTGGGACCTGTACCCCAAGAAAGCAACTCTCCTAAGCTCTGGGCTAGAGACAAACCATATTTTAAACAGGAACTGAAGGTAGTGTGCCAGAGCTGCTATTACATGTAATATATGTATAACATTAATTTCTTTATTCCTACTGTTCTTTTTTTGGTAAACAGTTTTTACAGAATTTGGAAGCACTAGTAAAGTCTATAAACTTTATAGACTAGTAAAGTCTATAAAGCCTTCACATGCATAGCGCTATGCTTCACATGCATAGCGAGCAGATATGCATGTGAAGATGGTCTTGGATGATTTTTCCATGGACCCCACACTAATCTTGATATTTGGGCTAGGTGGTGAATGGTTACGTGGCGATTTTCCAAAATGGTGACCTCAACTTGCTGGATGATGTGTTCATCAATAGAGTCAATATAGAAGGCACAGTCAGCCTTCCATACTGATAGTTTCTGTATTCATGGATTAAACTATATGTGGTTCAAAATATTTTTTTAATCCCAAAAGCAAACCTTGATTTTGCAGTTTTCTATAAGGGGCACAGTTTTACTATGCCTTTTTATACAATGGGGCATGCACATCTACGGATTTAGTATTTACAAGGGCCCCCTAGAAACAAGCCCACCAGATAACAAGTTTCCGCTGTATAGGGCAATTACTGAGTATTTGATGAAATTAAAGAATTACTATCATTATATCAGAATGTACATTTTTCTACTGTCTGTAGATTAGATAAGTAAAATCAAGCCATTTATGTAGTATGTTTTCCTTTTCCTCTAATACTAATTCTGTCTAAAGACAATATTTTTTTAAAGTGTATGAAGCAGTGGTTCTTAAACTATTTGATGCAGGAGACTTTCGTACTCAACATGCCAGGGACCACATTTGTTCCCATTGGATACAACTGGTTTTTTCCCCCTGGAGAATTGCCATGGATCAGCAGCTGAGAGCCTGTTGACCAGCCCAATTTGATCGTCTTTAGCATAAGGGAGAAAAAAAACAACCATTCAGTCATATTCTAGCTATTCCATAACTTCCAACTGCTCTAGTTTGATAGGAACAGCCTGATTAATGGGCAGCCATTTGACTTGCTCAGCTGCTTTTAAAATGCCCCAGTTTCTCCCTCCTGTTCCCACTTTCCCATTGTGTCCTCAGCTTATAGCAACTGCTGCAAACTGAATTGTAAGTACATAAATAGGTTACACATAATAAACCCAGCAGGAAGTAGTAGATGCTTTTCTTGGTGAGATCCCCTTTAAATTCACCACCCCGTATCTCTGTCCAAATGTCCTGGTTTTCATATATGCAGTGTTGGAAGGCATGTTATTCATGCCTCCAATCTAAGTGTGACTGTGTCTTCAATATACTTTTCAACATATAGCAAGCCTATGAATTTCACATGCATTCATAGGCAAGGAATACTCAGAGGTGATTTGCCAGTTTCTTTTTCTGAAATGTAGCCCACAGCAGCTGGTTTTTTGTGGGCAGTCTCCTATCCAGGTACTAAGTAGGACTGTTCCCGCCTAGCTTGCCAGACGTAGGCTATATTTCAGAGGAAGGAACAGGATGTGGTGCCTTAAAAGTATTTAGGGACATCTAGCTTTCCAAAACTAGCATTTCCACACATTCATTGTCTCTGTGAAGAGCCCCCAGCGATGCAATGGGTTAAACGCTTGTGCTGGCAGGACTAAAGACCGACAGGTCAGAGGTTTGACTCTGCGTGGATGAGCTCCCTCTATCAGCTCTAGCTCCCCATACGGGGACATAAGAGAAACCTCCCACAGGGATGGTAAAACATTAAAACATTTGGGGGTCCTCTGGGCAACATCCTTGTAGATGGCCAGTTCTCTCACAACACAAGCAATTTGCAGTTTCTCAAGTTGCCCATGACATGAAAAAAATTGACTGTGTGTATCTGTTGAACAGTGTGGGTGTGTGGGTGGGGAACAACCCCACACCCTTGTGCCGCTCTCTATTTAGAGCCTAAAGTTTCTCCAGCAAACAAAGAAGTAACCTTCCTTTGCAAGGAGATGGACCATGACATGTTGCCCCCAGGCAGAGCCTAGCTCATGGGAGCCAGGAAAGAAATCCTCACTGCACTACTTCACCTTGTGGGTAGAAGAGGAGTGACTGACTGCTCTAATCCTCACAAGGCCTTGAGTATTTGGATGATTGTAAATATTTTGCTGACCCGGCACTTGGCTGCCTTGCAAAGCCAATCTGGTTTGGCAAGCTGTACTCAGCCTGGAGAGTCACAGCTAAATCCCAAGAGGCAGGTGCTGTTCTTTTGCAGGTATGAGAAACCTTCCTGCTGGTGGAACTTTTTGAAGGTTCTGCATGAATTTGGAAATAATTCCTGTTTGATATGCCTTCTGTTAGCTTCAGGGCACCGTTTCAAAACTAGGCCATTTATCCTCCAATCCTTGCCACCAATTTGCACTGATTGGATGAACTTCAAATACTTTGAAGTTTGCTACCGCAGCAGCAAAAAACAGCTAAGAGGGTATTTTAGTTGTAGAAGTTAAAGCTTTTTTGCCCTCCTGTGATTATCCCCCTGCACACAAATTTGGGTATAACAAAGAAGGGCCAAACCATTGCAACTGGTGAGGTAAGAAAAATGGGGATCAGAGTATGCCAGAGATCCAGAGTGATGTAGTGGTTTGAGCATTGGACTAGGACTCTGGGTTGAAATCCACACTCAGCCACAGAAAGTCACTGGGTGACTTTGGGTAAGTCACACTCTTTCAGCCTTAGAGAAAGGCATTGACAAATGTCTTCCAAAGAAATCTTGTCAAGAAAACCCAAGAAGGAGATCTCCAAAAGTTGGAGTTGACTTGAAGACACATAACTGTAACACCAGAACGCACATGGTGGCCCTGCTCCCCTGTGGGTCAGGTGTAAGAAGTAGTGAATCATTTTAGATGGTTCTCTTGGAATTAAGACATATGGATTGACAAAACATCAGAATGATATCAGCATAAATAGAGTGTTATTGACATTATTGTTACAGTTTTATACCTTTGAACATTTTATGACTTATGGTGACCCTAATGTGAACTTATCATGGGGTTTTCTTGCAAGATTTCATAGATCCATAGAGCTGGAAGAGATCACAAGGCCAATCCAGTCCAACTCCCTGCCAGGAAGCAAGACACAATCAAAGTGTTCACAACAGATGACTATTTAAAAACCTCAAGAAATAAAGACTCCAGTACCCTACAAGGCATATCTACTGTTGAACAGCTCTTACCATCAGGAAGCTCTTCCTAATGCTTAAGCAGAATCTATTTCCATTCAGGAGCAGAAAACAAGCTTTCTTCCTCCTCAATACAATATCCTTTTAAATATTTAAACATAGCTATCAAGTCCCCTCTGGATCTTATTTTTGATGAAATAAACAAAGCCAGGTCCTGAAGCCACTTACAAAACTTTCACCACTTTAGTTGCCCCTTCCTGGATATAGTCTAGCTTCTCCATATTCTTCTTGAATTGTAGTGCCCAGGACTGGACAAAGTGAGAATTTGGCTTTGTTTTCCTCTGAGGCAGAGAAGGAGAATGCCTTTACCAATGTTTCCCAGTTGGTTACTATAACTGAGCAGAGTTCAGAACCCTGTTCTCCAGAATCATTGTCCAACGCTCAAACCACAACACCATATTGGCTTTCGTAGACATTACAAAAAGTGACGCCACATGTAATTTCTAAGAAAAGCCAATTTATTTATATTTCTCCAATAAAACCTGAATTGCTGATCACCAGACTTCTGGTCAATAACAACTGGCAGATTATGAAACCAAGATCATACTAATGATAACTATAGCAATGCTATCAACGTAGATGGATAGTCACTGTTTTTTGTTTTTTTTTTTGTAAAGGAGAGGGGCAGATGCCTTTGATACTCATAGTTGGGCCATAGTTATGTATAACAACATTGTGTTATTGTATAGAGCAGGGGTCTTCAGACTTTTTAAACAGAGGGCCAGGTCACAGTCCTTCAAACTGTTGGAGGGCCGGATTATAAATTGAGGAAAACATGCATGAATTCCTATGCACACTGCACTTATTTGTAGTGCAAAAAAAAAAAAAAAACCAACTTAAAATAATACAATAATTAAAATGAAGAACTTATTAGTATTTCAATGGGAAAAGTGGGCCTGTTTTTGGCTGATTATATAGAGTTGTTATTGTTGTTGTTGTTGTTGTTGTGTGCTTTCAAGTCATTTCAGACTTAGGTTGACCCTGAGAGGGGGCCAGGTAAATGACCTTGGAGGGCCATACCTGGCCCCTGGGCCTTAGTTTGAGGACCCCTGGTATAGAGTTATAGTATAGAGTTGCTGGAGATAAGGGTGTCTGTGTGTATGTAAGTATGTGTTTTTAAGTCAACTGTCTGCATAAGGCAACCCCATGAATTTTATAGTCTTCTTAGGCAAGGAATAATCAGAGATGGACTCTGCACATTGAATTTAAAATTGCACAAGTCACGAACACATTGCCAGCCCTTATATGTATGTGTTGATTTCTGTAGGTTGTTCTGTTCCTATCTAAAAATAGGTCCTTTCACACAACACTGTTATAGCTATATGTTTCTATAAATTATCATGGTTCCATTCTGGAATTCGCAATTTAGGGGAGGGGTAGTTCCCTTGCCTCATTGAACTGCAAACCCTGTGAGTACATAGGATGAAGCCATGACAGTTAAAATAGAATCATTGTCTCTCTCTCGAAGTACATAGGCAATTTTGCTATGTACGTAACAGCACTCAGGAAATTAAGTCAGAGATGGAATATAAAATTCTCAGACATTTTCACTTTGCATTGTTGTAGCATTTCATTGGGCTCTAATTCAATCTTGATTTGTTTAGCTTTTGTTGATTTCCCTCTTTCCCCAGGTTTGCTGATGTTTGCCATCACACACATCCTGTATTCCTCAGCTTTTGGGATGAAGCCTTTAGATCTGAAATCGGGCCTGGTGATAGCCCTCATGTCCAGTTTCAGCTACACCTTCCTGTATAGCTACCTCTCGGGCCCCTTCACCTACCTGGTGGCGGTCTATGTTGCCTTGATTGGCTTCATGGGCTGGCGGGCCATGGCTGGAGTGCAGCTGTGCAACGATCTGTGGACATGGACCAAGCTCTCAGCCTGCATTGGTTCAGTCCTCTTCATGGTGTCAGATCTGACCATCGCTCTCAACAAATTCTGCTTTCCTGTGCCCTACTCACGGGTCATCATCATGGCCACTTACTATGCAGCTCAGATGCTTATTGCTCTTTCTGCTGTGGAGAGCCGGGACGAAGAGGTCTTCAAGAAGCAGAAGTAGACGGTGTTGACTGTACATCAGTCACAAACCCACAGACTCCGCTGAGGGGCACTAGAGCTGGATCTATCCAACTCTGAGGACAGTTCTGACGGTTTAGGTGAATCAGTGATCACAGACCTTTGCTTCCTCAAAGTGTTTTATTTAGCATTAGCTGGCCCTCCTCCAGTCGGGTTTGCTGGAGTGTGGGTCCCACACTGGATGTTTAGATGGTTCCTGCAGAAATCTAATATATGATCTTCTCTGAATCCCCACCCCTGACCTGTGAAGTTGTGAGAGGCCTCTCAAATAATACATGGGATTTGTCTGATACTGAAGCTGGTGCTGGACATTCTAGAAGCAGGAGGCTCTTTTCAGAACTGTGTTTTTAAAAAGAAGGAAGGAAGAGGACAGAAGGAGAATGGACATTATATTGGGATTAAGAGCCTTACCTTCAACAGTGAATGTACAAGTCGTGGAAAGGAGCCTCGGTGCTGCTTGACCAAGCCCCTTTTCTTGTGCGCATTGTAGTACAACTGTGAAATTCTTGTGTTTCTACACAAGGGACCCCCCAGGGCTTGAACACCATGGGAGGACATAGGGGAGTTTGTATGGGTATTACAGCTTGTGCTATCCCTGGGAGAAATCAGTCTAAATTCCAGATTCATACAACCACTTATTTATAGGCCATTGAAAGCCTTTCTTCTGAATGTGAATTCTGTGGAGCCTCTGGCATTCTGCAGACTTAAAAGCAACAGCAAAATGCAACAATATTCTCAGGCATGGGGTGGGCTGGGGAGATAGGAAATGGGTTCCTTTTATTCTTGTCTTCTTTAAAAAGCAGGTCATGCTATGCCATTGATTGGCTTTCTCTAGCAGATGACTTCCACCATGCATATTCTCTCTTTCCAGCACCCAAACATGGAACTGAGTAACAGTTTAAATATTTTCAAATGTCTCTATTACCAGATGTTTCACAATTGACCAAGTGGCCTAAAAAAGCCACCTGCTTGTCTGATCTGCTGTCATTGCTGTAGGAGGGTCTGGGAAGAACTGGGAGCGAACGTCTCTTCCCTACCCCTCCCATCTCCAACATCCCAAACAAAGCCAGTGGATAGAAAGAGGACACAACAGCAACGATTGCTTTCTGGTACTCTGGTCACTGTGAACAAAGGCTGTGTTATGGATCACTAACAAGTATTAACAAGTTGTCGCTTCTACCATGAGCTTGATGGACTATCAGGGAACAATATTTATTCAAAGTGGAGCCAATGGGCTTTCATGTATTTCTGCATGTGGCAAGTATATGTACCAGTTTTTATGGACACATGCACATCAATGTTAAGTTCACTTCCCCATTCTTTTCAACTCGAACTCTAGAGTTGCCAGGTGCCTTCAGGCCTACAGCTGCAATACAGGTCATACTTGCAAGTACAACAGCCCTTCCGCCAAAGTGCTGGAAGGATCAGTCAATGCACCACTTTCCCAAAGTCAATCATCTATTTTCACAGGGAAGCACTGAGCTCCTGTGGATCAATCTAGGAGAGAATTGTAATTTGTGGAAGCTGCATACTTTGCTGGGTGTCTAGGATGACAAATCAGGTCTCAACTGACCTGGCCTGGCCTGACCTGCAACAGTCTGTGTGGAGACCCTGTGTGCATCCCCTCATGGTCACTCATGAGATTTTTTTGTGGGGGGAGGGGGCAGAGGGAGAGTGTACTTCCTTATTAAACATAATATTTCTGACTTGATGAACTTCTCTTAACAATCTAGTATACAAAGAATGCTGAAGTATTTGTTTCTTTTTTAAACTGAATAGTCATTATATGCGTCTTACATTTAGATTCCCCCCCTCCTGCGTTTTGCTTGCACTGTGCAGACAGACAGCTTTTCTTAAGTTTTGGTTATCTGTCAAAGCTCAGACACACACACCTTTTTAAAAAGAAGGTAATTCTTAGGGATGTTTCAAAAGCAGTGCTTGACATAATTCTAACTTCCTGCACCCTTCAAAATATTCTTAGATAAAGTTGCATATAGCCACATCCTAGTATTAGAAATGCCCTACAACTCTGGTCTTCAAAATCTAGCTATGGGGCATTGCTTAGTAGAGTCCAGGTGGACTTACATTTGCCAAGGGTGTGTCCAACTCCATGAAGGGAGCTGTTCACTTATAAATGTGGAATGTGCATCAGTTGTGATGGCATGCCCAAGCCTTTGGGAAAAACGATAGTGTCTGGCTTTACTCAGGGGCTATCTGTATACCTTCTGTTAAGATTGAGACCCTTAACACACAGAGGCACTTTAGGCAAGGTGAAAAGATAACTAAAATGAGTTTACTGAAAACATGATTAATAAAGGCTTAACTTCACCTTGGACTATTATATGGTAACTTAAAACAGTACATTACAAAAGGAGCCTTTGCTGGCTGCAATCATCTCTATAGAGTCTTCTGTCTCTGGTGCAAAGCGATGGTTTACAAGCTGTTGCTTACAAGTTGTCTCAATCCTCTTTTTTGTGAAGCTTAAGCTGGTCAAAAGCTTCTGTTGTCACTGGAACTGGTGGTATAGAAATACTGTTGAATGAAGGTGCTAAGGATGCCTGTTTTGTTTTGTTTTTTGGATTGCATCAGCCTAGGATTGCCAAACAATTCCCAAGCCTCTGTTCTCTGTAGCTCTGTTGCAGGAAAAGGAGGAGTCCAGCAAAGGAGCTCTATACACTAGTCTCTACGGTTTTTATGCTCCACCCAAAACTAATACAAAGAAAGGTATCCACACTATTGGGAAAACCTATAAACGGGAGGAGAGGAAAAGGCAGAGCTAAGACTTCACCTCAGTATTGAGATCCTATTTATGCTACCCACTTATATTGTTCTTGTACCACTTCCATTGCCATAGTGTTTCCCTAGGATATTTTTGGTTGTATTGTTTTAATCTACTGCTGTAAACCGCTCCGAGCCAAATTGGGAGTGGCGGTATACAAGTCAATACAATATGGATGGGTTCCTTAGTAAACAGGTAAAACACCAATAATCCACTTATAAAGATAACAGTAATGAATAAGTCCAACAAATAGGTAAATTGTGAAACTAGGACTGTTCAATTCACAGTGGTCACAAAATCAAGCAATATACAATAAGTTCTGTATAGTCTTTTAGTGATGTCGTTGTATGTTCATGAATCAGCCTCCCACGACCGGTTTCGGCCTTTGCTTTAGGCCTTCTTCGGGTGGTCTGTAATTTACATACATAAATACATTTTACAACTGTATAGGTTGAACAAAATGAAATACAATACATTTAGAAATACTTACAAAGTTCAGTCTTTTACATATGTTCTCATAAGAGATACTTAAGTTTTTTTGCAATGGGATCTAGGTAAAAGGAACAAATTGTGGCTATTAACATTTAAACGTTACATATATCAAAATAAGGTAAATGTTTTACCAATATGTATTTCATTATGTTCAACCTATACAATTGTAAAATGTATTTATGTATGTAAAATTACAGACCACCCGAAGAAGGCCTAAGCAAAGGCCGAAACCGGTCGTGGGAGGCTGATACATGAACATACAACGACATCACTAAAAGACTATACAGAATTTATTGCATATTGCTTGATTTTGTGACCACTGTGAATTGAACAGTCCTAGTTTCACAATTTACCTATTTGTTGGACTTATTCATTACTGTTATCTTTATAAGTGGATTATTGGTGTTTTACCGGTATACAAGTCAAGCCAAGTAAGTAAGTAAGTAAATAAATAAATAAATAAAGCCCGGGGATTGAAAATAGATTACATCAATATACGTGTGTACTTAAGGTAAACATTGAAAGCTGCTGCAGGCTACAATTCCTATTGCAAGGGCTAGGACTCATGGTGCTCACAAGATCCTATAGAATTGCAAGGCACATCAGCTCTAGCCAGCAGGCCAATGGTGGCAAACGTAGGGAATTTCAGCTCAACCTTATCTGGAAGAGTCCTCCTCTTGCTCCATGGATTGTAGAATGCTGGATTCTGGAAGATGAAACCTTTCAGATTTTCTACTAGAAGTCAGGCAGAAACCTGTTTCAGTTTTAGACTAAAAGTGCCAGTAAGGACCGCAATGGTGTTTCAATCTAGTCTTGATTCTCTCTCTCTCTCTTTAGTTCTGATGCTGAAAGTATTGAGCTAATAAACTGCAGAACAACTGACCAGGAAAGCTGTGAAAAAAATACCATTGAGGGAAGTTTGTGCCTACTATTTGATCTGTCAGGTTGTAATTGATGCCTTTGCATTCTGTTCCATTTCTCGTTACACGCATGTAGACTTACATCCCTGAATGCTTACTATCCTATGTCAATTGAATCTATGTGGGATTATTTTCTTATACAGAACCCTATATGAAGAATCAACAGCAACAGTTCGCCATTTCTTCTATGGTATATTTGGCTGTGAATTTAGGACTACTTCAAAGACATACCCATGTTAATCTGTTTTAGTTGGAGATGTAAAAGAATCCTTTCAGACTTAACTGGGAAGATGACATTTTCTAGCATGACAAGGTTTTTGCGGATAGACCCCAATTCACCAGATGCAACACTCTTAGAGTGCTAGAATTGAGGACTGAGTTGGTTACACTTTGTGTAATGTGCTACATGGATGCAATTCAACTTTTTGGGAGCTTATTGGGGGAGGTAGCATCTTGCCAAGGCTCCCCTAATTCTTATAAAATTTAAAGGGATACCTCTTTAAAAAAATTCCTGATCAAGCCACTTTGAGTCTCTATATTGGGAGAATGGCATAATAAAAATCTATATAAAAGTCACATTATGTTTATATGTTTATATATTTGAACCACAAATGCTCCTACATGGCATGATGGATCTGGACCAAACTTGGTACACATATCCTTCATGGTCCAACTTAAAATACTGGTGGGGTGGGGGCGGGGGGGACAGAGGATGATGAGAGTTGTAGTTCCATCACTTCAGAAGAGCTATATGAATCCCACTAATGATGAATCTGGACCAGACATGGCTTACATTCCCATCATGAGCAACTTAAAATCTTGGGTTTTTTTTAGTGGGGATAACAAACGATGATGGGAGTCATAATCCACATCTGGAGAGTCACATCATGGCCACTCCTGATGAATCTGGACCAAATATTGATGCTGTATGCATATCATGACCAAAATGCTCATTATGACCAAAATAAAATAGTGGAGGGGTTTTTTTTGGGGGGGGGGGTGGGTTAGAAGATGAGGGAAGTTGTAGTACACCCATATCCAGAGAGGCATGTGAATCCCACCAACAATGGATCTGAACCAAACTTGGCACACATACCCATTGTACTGGCAGTCCTTGAGGTGTGCGCAGAGGAAGAGGGAAGTTGTAGTCCACCCAAATTCAGAGAGCCACGTGAAGCCAACCCACCATGAATCGGGACCAAATGTGACACACATATCCATCATGACCAAATTAAAATACTGGCAGGGTTTGGGGGCATGGCATATGATGATGGGAGTTGTAATCCACCCAAACAAAGAGAGCTATGTGATTGGGACCAAACTTAGTACACATACTCTTCATGATCAAACAAAAAGCTTCAGGTACAATCCCTGGCATTTTTAGGTTAAATTAGAGAACTGCTTCCCAAAGCAACTGCCAGTCAGATCTCACTGTAGGCCAGATTAAGGCAATTTTGTAAACCTCTAGAAAATGCTAGACTGCTATGCTCAGCCTCAGCATAGCCAATGCTCAGCATAGCCAATGGTGAGAGATGCTAGCATTCTGTGTTAAAGAACACCAAGAGGTCACAAGTTGCCCCCCCCCCCCGAGTAAGCGTTGTGCAGGGTTGCAGTTAGACTCACTTGGAGACTATGTTGCAATATTACATATCCAAACTTCCATTATTTCCACACCTTTTTTGAAAGGTTTCTATGAAAATGTTCCAGTTTGCATCCAATTTCCACACCTTCTTTGAAAGGGTTCCAGCTGCTCCCAAAATCAGAAAGCAAAGAGTGAGCATTTCTGCTTGAATAAAAGTTGAGCAAATGGTTCTTTAGACTGGGCCTTGCTGGGGGGGAAATTAATCCCTAACGCTGCTCTGGGTTCTGTTCTCTTCTGGGGTCTTTTTAGCTTGCTTGCTTCAGTAATAAGTGCCATGCAACACACCCCAAATGGGTGAGTTTTTCCTTAGCTGTCTGCTGGCTATTAGCACCCATTTCTCCATCCAGATGCTAAGCAGATTTCATACCCACTGCTTTCTCTGCGGTTATTACCAAAGTGGCATTTCTTCTCTCCAAAGAGCTGCCAAAGGCTCTCTTTTTAAATGTGTGTCTTTTATTTGAATGAATACCAGCTCCACATAATAGAACTGTTGACCTCTTTTCCCTCAATTCAGCCCACCAGTTACACAAGTCTCTAACATTTTCTATAGAATAGCTCTACTTCCTCCTCTGTGCCTCACAGTTTGATGTGAAGGCATCTTCTTTTTAAAGATCACAGGGAGTGCTGGCATAAAATGGTTCCTAGGAATAATTGGTTTCCTTCAGTTCTAATGGGAAGGAATCTCATTAAAATTAAATTCAGTATTTTTTGCATTCATTATGGGAAAGTAAAAGAAAAATGGATCATAGATCACATATGAAGATTTGAAGGAAAACTTTGTTAAAACAAAATTTGAGCAAGATTTTAATTTGCATGTAATGGGTATATACTTTTGCTGCAGTTAGATAAAGGTCTGTTTTTTTGGGTTTTTTTGCTTTTAAGTCAACTTTTTTATCATGTCAGAGATGAATTGGAATCGCTTCAGGTGTGAGAGAATTGCCCATCTGCAACATTGCCCAGTGGATGCCCAGATGTGTTATCCTGTAGGAGGTTTCTCTCATGTCCCTGCATGGGAAGCTGGAGCTGACAGATGGGAGCTCACCCTGTCTCACAAATTTGAATCAGGTCTTCAGGTCAGCAGTTCAGCCAACACAAGGGTTTAACCCAATGCACCTCTGATTTATGGTGATCTTATCACTGTGTTTTCTTGGTAAGATTTGTTTGGAGGTGGGTTGCCATTCCCTTTTTCTGAAGCTGAGGGAGTGTGACTTACCCAAGGCTGTACCGTGGACTTCCGTGGCTGAATGGGGACTTCAACTCTGATCTTCTAGAGTTGAAATTAAGCATTCCATTTTATAGAAAATGGTAGGTTTCTCACTATACACTATTAACAAGCCTCGTGGAGCTATTTCACCTTTTCCTTAATTGATTTTTTTCTAGTAAGAGAAAATTATGGAAGAAGCAAGGTGAAAAGGCAGCTAATTGAAAATATCATTTGTACTTCTTTTGAACTTGCATCAATGGGATGATGCCATTGTCAAGACTTTGCCTGAAA